CCATCCCTTCCTGTCCTATATACACTTTCCAGTCAAGCTACACATGAAGCAGTTCATCTCCTTTGCAGAATGTTGGTCTTTGATCCAGTAAGTATGATTTACAATTATTTCTAATCCTTTTTGTTTTAACAGTTTTTGTTGTCTGCTACTTAAATTAATATTTTACGTAAAGGACTGCTTTAGCTGATTTTCTTCTACATTGCATTTCAGTACTTTAGGGTCTGTAAAAGATATAAAAATATCATCTTATAATTGGTCAATTAATTCCCCCCTGGAATGGGGGTTTTGCATTTAAAATCTAGTGGGCTTTTGAAGAAAGCTACGATAGAGTGAGAAAGATGAGGGTGTTCATGAATCATGCTATCTTTTCCTAGCTAGGTGTAGGTAGCAGAACATCAGATACTTTGATGCAGTTCTAATTAGAGACGCGTGGGTGTTCATGGTCTTGCAACACACAAAAAATTCCTTCTACATCCACACAGTCACATAACAGGATCTTTTTCCCACTGAGCATCTGTTTTTCTAATAAAAATTTGCTGCTGTGGATTTTGGATTTCATCTCTTGGGCTTGCAATACAAAATTGTCACTAGAAAATCTGATACTGAATCAATGTTCCTAGTTATTTCATCTTTAGAGGAAAATCCCTAACATTTCAAATGAAAAATAGACAAATTGACTGACCTGTAAAGGAGGAAGCTTGCCATTGACAAAGGATTCAGAAGGCAGTACCGCCTTATTTTTTTTTTTAAACCTTAAGATCGCTTTACTGAAGAAAAACATAGAAATGTTAAATCATAACCTCCACTTAAACAAACTTTAACTTTTTTCCTTTTGAACTCCCTCAACATTCAGAGTATTATTATTCCCAAATCACATTTGTATAAATGTGGGTTTGTTTTTTTTAAAGAATCAGGACAATCCTTTAGAACAGGTGGTTTTAATTTCATCTAAGAAATGTGCTGGGAATTGGGACACTTGGGTTGTATGTCAAGCTTTGCCACTGCTTTTGCTCTGTAACTTTGAGCAAGTCACTTTGGTTCTGTTTGGTTGTGTGGTTTGGGGTTTTGTAATTCACCTATAACAATGGATTTCATTACACTCTGAATTTGCAGTGGCACTTCTGTCTGCAATTCTTTAGAAAGAGATAGCATTCTCCTTTTTTTGACGGGATGCTGTTGGACACCTAGAGGCTGAGTACTTTGAGTTGCGCACAAAAAAGGTCTTAGTCATGTGGAAGTTGACTTTATCATTTAAACCGTTGCTCTGACCACCTTCTTCCCTGCACTTCCTTCACCACTTGTTTTCTGAAACTTGATGTGTAAAATATATCCTGAATTATTCTGTTATCAGTGATGCTTAAATTTGTGTTTTACTTTAAACATGCACTTAAGGACACCTTAAAAAATGTTTTTGCAGAGTATGGACCTGCAAAATGCTGTATTTGCTAACATTTAATTCTTTGAGCTTATTTTGATGTATTGTAGGATTCATAATTTTAAGGTTAGCTGGAGAAAGTAATTATTGAAAAATAAATTTCTAAGAATCATGTTAGCAGCATTTTCTGTCATTAGCTATAGTACAGAAAGGTCAATGTCATCTTAGTGATGCTGCTTGTTTTTAGGTAAAATCTTCCCCCTAGTGGCAGTGTTTGCAGATCCCAAACATTTCCTGACCTGAACTAATCCTTTAACGTGATTAGGCATATATAAAACAATTCAGAATTAATTGATGAGTAAGTATTCTTTAGACTGTTTCAATACCTCTGAAAATATCCTAACTGTTTTGTTTTGGTTTCTCTCTTTTATTTTCTTTAAATGCAATATTTCAGTCCAAAAGAATATCCGCTAAGGATGCCTTAGCTCACCCATATCTCGATGAAGGGCGGTTGCGATACCACACTTGTATGTGTAAATGTTGTTTTTCCACATCTACTGGCAGAGTTTATACTAGTGATTTTGAACCCATCACGAATCCCAAATTTGATGACACTTTTGAAAAGAACCTCAGTTCTGTTCGGCAGGTTAAAGGTAAGTAGTAGTTAACCTTTGCATCTGCGTTTACCTGCCTGCTCCATCCTTTAGTAGTGTGTAGTTAGGATGTGCAATCTGGATGCATGTACTGACCCAGATGGTTTTCTCTTTTAGGTATTTTTCCATAGTAGATACTGGAAATAATTTCACTAAAAGAGCAGAATTGCTCTTAAACATTCTGACATAATATAATATCACACGTGTTAGTTGACACGTGTCTATTGGTTTCAGACCTTAATAGCGTTCTTCTCTGATGTTGGTGCTCCCCTTGCCATTCCTTTGTTGAAGGGTGGCACCGGGAGGGAAAGGGAAATCACTGTCGTCGCCTTCGGGGTGCAAGGTGTTACCCTGATAACTGTCCTGCAGAAAGGGTCAGCACCGTTGGGTAACTGAAGCTGAGTAGTCTCATAGTTCTGCTTCGATTCCTCCAGTCCCTCGCAGCCTGCTCGCGCTGACGTGTCTGTGTCGGGTGCCCTTACAGCAGCTGCTGCCCGAAGCTCCGTACTGGTGCCAGGCTGTGGCTCGGGCCAGAGCGCTGAGGGTGCCGCGTCAGGCCGTGACACGCTGTCAAGGGAAGTCAGTCCTGGTGCCTGGGAGAGGAAACTGTGGCAGCAGATGGTTACTAAATGCCAGCAATTGCATTGTGGCACCAGAGATTTGAAGTCCGATTCCATCCTAGCAAACAAGCCGTGAAATAGACTTTGTTTCTTTTGAAATCGGATCCGCTCAGGGAAGTGGTCCTTTTATCAGAGCAATACAATATGAGGAACAGTAGTAGGGGTTTAGGTTCTGTTCAGTGGCTGCTTGAATAACTTGAGAGGAAGAGAGGGAGAAGAACTGTATTACCTTAGCAGTTTCTACCAAACAATTCAGCCATTTGGGACAAAAATACTCTATGATGTTGCCGTGATAATGTGATTTATTTCAGATATATCTTGAACTTGTAATTCTGAAATTCACATTTATAGTCCCTACAAGTCCACATACCACTGTTTTCTTTTTATCCTGCTACTCTTTCCATTTCCCTCCTCTCTTTGGCCATCACTTTTCAGAGCTGTACGTAGATCTGCTGTCTTCTTTGAAATCTGTTGCTCTAAAAGCTGCCTTGAAAGTTTGCTGACAGCGATGCAGTTTCCAGCACATTGCCTCTACCGTACCACCTGGGCATATGGAGCTGCTCTGCCAACGGTCGCTGCTGCTTATAGAGGAGCAGCCCGTTGCCAAACCTTCCAGGCGCTGTTTTTTTGGGGGGTGCACATGTGTGTGTGAGAAGATGTTTTGTCTGGCAACTGTACAGAGAGTTCCTCTCTCCTATGAAAATGTACTTTTTTTTTTTTTCATTATCTCAAGTGGCCATTTTGTACTTGGTGGTAGTAGCTGAGTTCATGAATCAAACTGGGCTTAGTAATAGAACTGTGTTCTTAGTATTTGCAAATCAAGTTCAAGTTGAGAATTCTTTGTTTTTCCAAAAGTTATACCCTAAAATTGGCATTTAATCTGTCACTGGTTATCATCAGTTCAGTATTATAGTGGTGATTAGGGTTTTGTTCCATATGCATTTATTTCAACATGCATAGAAGAGTTCTGTGTGACTTTATACTACGAGGTATGGCATTGGATGAGATTTAGGGAAGCTGGAGTTCTTCTGTCCTTACTAAAATGTACTTTCAGTAAAGGAAGCTTTATTTTCCTCCAGTCTACGTTGCATTTTACTGAAGCAAAAAGTGTTAACGATGTGGTGTTTTTTATTTTCCTCCTATGTACAGAAATAATTCATCAGTTCATTTTGGAACAGCAGAAAGGAAACAGAGTGCCTCTCTGCATCAACCCTCAGTCTGCTGCTTTTAAGAGCTTTATTAGGTAACTGTATGTAATCACATCTGATATTAATTCACATTTATTAGTAGTACAGAATTCACACATCCAAAATGTTTTTATGTTTTAAGTTTCTGAGAGTAGGAAAGGCCCACAGATAACTTCTGCGGAAAAATACCTTAAGACCATGTATGGTTACATTCTAAAAATACTTTTATGAATTCTTCCAGAATTTGAATAAAACGTGCAAAAGCTTCAAGTAATATTTTTGCATAGAAGTATAGAAGTCAGACTAAAAATGAAGATTGAAAGATTGATGAATTGAATTCTGATTGTAGAATTGCACTGTAAAAACATGAAAATTAATGACTGATAGATGAAGAATCATTAAGAAAATAAGTAGATAAAATATAGCGAAATATTTGTTGTCCGTGTTGTTAACTGTTGGTCCTGGGGTGGTTTGGGCTGTTTTGGTTTGGTTTTGGTGGGGTTTTTGTGTTTTCCTTGAAATGTTTGCTTACTGGTTGAGCATTAACTTTCTTGTCCATGAGCTATTGCAAATGAACACTGATTTTCTGTATCACCTGCATTCTAGTTCCACGGTTGCTCAACCATCTGAGATGCCGCCATCTCCACTGGTTTGGGAATAAAGTGGAAGATAATATACTACTGAAGATGTAATGTAGCTTTCCACTGGAGTCTGGGATTTGCAATTCTGGAGGTTAATCATGCTTGTACTGTAATTTTACTAATGAAGTTTTAAATTAACAACCACTACTTGTACAATATGAATAATATTTAGAAATGTACTAGACTTTTAATCTTGTAAAGTGGTTGTGCTTTTAGAAGAAAATATTTTACCCAGAGTTGCACGTGTTTTATGAATTCTAGTGCAGCTGTGATGGCTCAGCTCAGAACAAACAGAATTGAACCAAATTTGGGGAGGTTTTTCCTTTTTTCTTTTTTTTCCTTTTTTTTTTTTTATTGAAGTGAGATTGTACAAAAAGATAGACATACATTTTGATATTGAGCCATTCCTGAAGATTTTGGGTTTTCTAAAACTAAGGAATACAGAAAACTTGACTGCGACCAATCATGAGGTCACATCAGATGACAGTGACCACAGTAAGTGGGCTGTCACCTGATGATCAAACCCTATAAATAGCTTCTCACTAGAGCTGTGATGGTGATGTGTGCTGTTCTAAAATCAAATGTTGTGAGTAGAGAGAATGAGTTTGTGACTAGGAGAGACTAAACTTCTGTTTCCTTACCCAGTATAAATATATATATATATTTAATCT